ATGGACCAGTTGGAGAGGGTTCAGAGGAGGGTCACGAAGATGATAAGAGGGCTGGAGCACCTTTCCTATGAGGACAGGCTGAAAGAGTTGGGGCTGTTCAGCCTGGAGAAGAGGAGGCTCCGGGGTGACCTTATAGCGGTCTTCCAGTACCTCAAGGGGGCCTACAAGAAAGATGGGGAGAGGCTGTTCAGGAGGGCCAGTTGTGATAGGGCAAGGGGTAATGGTTTTAAAATAGAGGGAGGTAGATTCAGGTTGGATATTAGGAAAAAATTTTTTACCATGAGAGTTGTAGAACACTGGAACAGGTTGCCCAGAGAGGTGGTGGATGCTCCATCCCTGGAGACGTTCAAGGCCCGGTTGGATGAGGCCCTGAGCAACCTGATCTAGTTGGAGATATCCCTGTTCCTTGCAGGGGGGTTGGACTAGATGACCTTTGAAGGTCCCTTCCAGCCCTAACGATTCTATGATTCTATGATCTACTTAAGAAAGCAGCCTCCTTATAGCTAGAATAGAATTGGCCACATTGCGCAGACAATGGAGCACCATTAAAGACACCTATCATGTTCTTGTGTTCTCCTTCCATGTGCTACCGATATGCAGGGAAACTGCATTATCTCTTTCTCAAACAGATGAAGTAAGAGTAAAGGAGTAGGAGGAATGAGCAGAGTACCTTCTCAAGTGGCAGCTAAACAAAATGGTTGCACTACAGCATACAGAGGAAAGTTAAAGTTCACTTCCCTCGCCAAACAAAACAGAAAGCAGGTGAGAAAATGTTTATTTATCTCACCTACGGCACATTATCTACAGACAGCATATTGGGACTCCAGAAATCTGCACAATATTCTCCTAGAATATAATTCAAAGTCATATTTGATGACTGAGAGATACTTTGCAGCTTTTATTATTCTCAGGTTCTCAAAAAAAAAAATCCCTAAGAAACTTATCTGCATTCTTTATCAGCTTCACTCCCACAGGTAAAATTATCATCTAAATTCCATCTGTAACGTGATCTGTTCAACACCACTGTCTTCAAATTATACCTTTCCAGGCCTCGAAAGGCAAAAGAATTTCCCGAGTACAGCAATCCAGAAAACAGTTTTCAATTTTTTAAATATTATTTTGAGATTGAAATTATCCTGCTTTCATTTTACCACTACACCTCAACATTTGTGAACGATGTTTTTTGTGATTTAGTTCATGACCAGTAAATTCTATGAGTGAGTCATTAAAAAAAAGGCTGGTCAAAAGCTTTCATGACACATCTTTTCTGAAGAGCCTCTCTGAAAAATTCATACGTTGATCCCTTCGCCTCTGGAGCACTGCTTTCGCAAATTATCACTATCACTTAACGAAATGCTGCACTCAAGTTAAAGGCTAAACATGAAGGTAACTTGAAAGTGTTTCAGCAACTTGTAAAGGGAAGCATCTTACTGATGTTCAAACAATGTTCATTTATTTTACTTAAACCCCTCCACCTTTTTAAAGAACTCCATTTGAAGTCAAACATGAAAAGACTTTTTTCCACTCTCATTGTTCATAGCCTAAGGAAAGGAGAAGATGAGAAGAAAATGTTATCAACTCTTACCATTTACTGTTCTGAACTTATTTACCACTTTTTGCAACTAAACATATACTATAAAGATCGTCCTTCATAACTGGAAATGGCTTCTTCCTCCTATCTGAAGAAACTTGGCTGCACTCTTCCCAGCAGCTGGTAGTCCAACAGACACTTTCAATTCAGTTTCTATTACAATGACAACGTTCAAGAATTGAGTAACTTCTAATTCAGTTCTTATGTTAAAACTGAGTAACGTTCTAATGGGAATAGTGAAAAGTAGATTAGGATCTTTCCACCTGAGGAAAAATTTCATCAGACTGAAATGTTAAGATGTCAAGGAGAACAAAATTATGTTATCAGGGACTGGAAACAAAGATTCATACTCTAGTTGTTGGCTAAAACTTTATGCCATCACACCTCTAATTCTGGTAACATACTAATGGTAACATAGCTATACCTACTTGCACTACACTACCTCGAACACAACAAGAACATGTGTATCAGTACAGAGCTGTGTTCCAGCAGAGGAAACTCAGTAAAGACCTCAAATTGCTTGGCTGTAACTAAATTCTCAGGAATATATGTTGACATAGAGTAATGCAAGGCCTATGTTGTCTGCTAGGTTTGACAGAGTAGTAACACATAACATCTAAGATAAAGTGAATTGAGGCACTATCTGCCTTGTTTTACTGCCCTACAACGCAAAGTATGTGAACATCTGCATTTGCTGGTCTGACTAAAACAGCAAAAATAAAAAGGCTCTGCTATTATATTCAACAAGGAAATAAAACCAGAGCATTAAATGCAGCAAACAGAAAACCCTGTGGTTGGCCTCTGTAAGAAAGTTATAGAACTTAATTTCTGCCCTTTCTTAAAAGAAACAAGCCTTATTCAAAGTATATCTGCAAACAAAGGAGTTATGTAAGAACTTTCAACCTCTCTGAAAAGGATGCTAACAATACAAATTCTCAGAAGAGTCAGGAGCATTTTGACTTCCTAACTTTCGACAATGGCTCTCACTAAAGACCACCAAGAGGCAATCACCTTACCCTTCAGCCTCATTTTTGGTGAAAGAATAGTGTAAGATATCCTTACAGGATTGTCTGATTGTTCTGTTTACACCTTGTGCAGCAGTTCTAACATATGAAGCTCTACTAACACCTACATGTCTATTAGCAGTACAATAGTGTATGAAAGATTGATTGAGAAGAATAAACACATATTTTTAAGAAACAGGAACCACAAAAGAGATATGAACCAAAACTGTATTTTTCCCATACTTAAATATAATTCTTACAGAACGTATATCAATACCTGCTGCTGCCTTTGCCGTCTCATTTGGGCAACCTGAGACATCATGATTTGACGATCCAGTAACTCCATTCTCTGCTGCCTCTGGATGTCAACTGTTGCTCCCATTCCCACTCGAACTTCGTTCGTTGGTTCCGCAGATGAGAAGATTGGTTCAAGAGTCCAAGAAAATATCTTTGCTACCCAGCTGGGTACACAAAGAATTCGATGAACTTTTAATATACTGCTATTGTAGCAAATCCCAGAAACCTAAAACCAAAAAAGAAATGTTAAAAAAAACCAAACCAAAACAAAAAAAACCCTACCAAATTTATTTTGTATTTAGCTGCAGATAGCAGTTGGTGTTTCTGTTTTTTAAAGCACTTTTTAATTGTATTTACCCAGAGTTCTCAGTCAAGAATCAGAGCAAGAACAGGGGATTTCTTTACCTCCAACTTCCCCACAACTACAGACTGTTACTTTTTAAAATCCATGTACTGCATTGCCTGTGACTCAGAAAGCTGCTTGGGGGTTTTTTGTTTGTTTCAGAATCTGACTTAAACGAAGCAATCATTTCTCAAACAGGTCAAAATTCAAACAAAATTTTCATTTCTAGTAAAGGAACTGGTCAGAATTTGTTGCATGCTGACCTGAGAAGACTGAGACTACCCTTGATGATGCTGAAGCATTGTAAACACTCCTTAAAAAAAACAATCCCCTTAAGGTTTCTGCCCCCCACCACCCAAGTCTCTCCTTCTAGTAAAAACAAAAGCAAAACAGCTAATTTGAAGTTAAATCTAAGAGTATGCACAGATTTATTCCAAAATGATCCCATCTACCTTCTACAAGGAAAAAAAAAGGTTAAAAAAACAGTTCACTGAAAACCGTGGGATTGAAAAAGCCAGCCTTCGTGATGCCCTTCTCACACCGATAGGAAAAAAAACCCTCATTCCCTTTGTCCACACTCGTGCTTGCCTTGGGGCTTGATTTCATTTCAGATTAAGGAGGAGCAACAGAAATCCATGTGTCCTGTAAGTGATCTACAGTCGTCACTCAACCCTCAATTTAAATCCCATGATGAGGCTCTAGCACTTGGGCCCAAAGTGTTCAGTGGGAAGGCCAAAGTTCTTGCACAAACTCTGAGTCTGCATTTTGCTTTATGCCACATGTCAGTATTCGTGACTGTTTATTGTCTATTATGCCACAAGAATTACGCTATGACAGCAAAGTGAAATGAACAGGAAGAGATATGAACACCCCCAAAAATCCATAAACATACCCAAACAATGCAATTATGCTAGAAACAATGTAGAAACTCCGCATCTGGTCTACTCCTTTGGGAAACTAATATAGAACTATATCGCCAAAGAATAAGTGGAGGAAAATTCCTATCACTTGCTATGCAGTAGTTAAGGTATCTGCCTAGCAAGAAGGTCCCTCAGAAGCTAACCACCTGGTCCCAAGAGAGTTACATAAATAGGCTCCTGTCCCTCAAGAAAACTTAGATTGTAAAGCTAGCGGGAAGGTCACGTTTTTGAGAGCAGGAATTACTGAACCAGGTTGCAAATATTATGTATACATTTAATCTGATGACTTCTTAGACACAAAATGCACAAGCAGCACCAGAACCTACAAATTATCTTCCTTCCTCCCACCTCCTATCATTAGGCTATGAAGCCAGGCCTTCTCTTTGGTTCCAGGGATTCTGAATTCCTGGTTGCAAAGGTGTAAACAGGCAGGGAAAGGACTCCTACCCAAAATACTTTGGCCAACATCACAACAGCATTCCATCACTTCTTCAGAATGCCCCTCCTAGCTACTGATCTCTGCTCACTCTTATCACCTACGGTCCTTTGTTAACATCTAACGTTTCCAGGGCACCTTAAATCTTGAACAGAGTTCAAAAAGTCACAAGAACAAAACAAAGCAAGTGGTGATAGGAAAATCTACCTCTCCCTGAATGTATGACAAGTCTTGACACATGTTTGAAGGCATAAACCACAAACAGAATCATTCTCTTATCAACTCAAGATAGGAAATACAGCAAAAAGATAGCAGCAGCATGTCTTTAGCGTCAGTACTTTGGGACTTGTTTGTCTCAGAAGGGAAAGTGTACAGCAAGCACCAACTTGCATCAGTAAAAGCATTCTCTTATTTTTCTAAGCAGACACAGCTAGTCATAGAATCATAGAATCATTTAGGTTGGAAAAGACCCTTAAGATCATTGAGTCCAACCATTAACCTCACACTGGCAAGTCCACCACTAAACCATGGCCCTAAGTGCCACATGTACACATCTTTTAAATACCTCCAGGGACTGTGCTCCCCCCCAGCCTGTTGTGTTCCGGCACACTGGCAAAAACACAGCAAGTTGAAAAGTCCTTGATGTCTCAGTGCCAAATTCTTCTCATATCGAATTCCAAACTAAAACCAAAACATAGCTCTTCTAGCTGCTAAAAAGAAAACTAACTCTGTTCCAGTCAAAACCAGGACACCTGGACAGCCTGTTCCAATGCTTGACAACCCTTTTGTTGAAGAAACTTTTCCTAATATCCAATCTAAACCTCTCCTGGTGCAATCTGAGGCTGTTTCCTCTTGTTCTATTTGGGAAAAGAGACGGATACTCACCTTGTTACAACCTCCTTTCAAGTAGTTGTAGAAAGCAAGTCATTCCAGAGCACTTCATCAGAAGAAAGGGCTTTATAAGGCTAAAAGTATATGGACATTGCTAAAATAGAGGATGGCACTTAGTACTGCATGTGAGACTCATACACATGACTCCTACCTGCCTTCCTAGCTTTATTGAGCTCATTGGAATAACATGCCTGGTCTAGCCAACACACCAGTTGCAGTGGGTTGTCTTCTATCTCCTTGCCGCTTCTCAACAGTAGACTAGTGTCTTGGCCCCTTCTTGTCCTGCCTTAGACAGAAACTCATTGCACAACCCAAACGTGAGGACTTCTGTGCTCACAGAGCAGGAAGTTGAGAAGTCTGACAATACAGATTCCACAGTAAAATCTAAAATAAAAAGCACCTGCTGAAGGAACAAGACAAAACTGTGGGACTAGCAGAAAAGTCCAACATACAGTTGCCAAGAAACTTACTGTGGACCACTAATTGTTCAGAACAATTGTGTGAGACTGAAGTTCTTCACAAGTATAAGCAGATGGAAGGACAGACTCAGCGGTGAAAAGCACCAAGTGTACACTGGCAATCCACCTTGTTACCTCCACATCTGTTAGAATTTCAGTGCCACTCCCCTTCCTCTTTCTTGATTTACTACTCAAATGATTTACTCTCTCCCTTGATTTACTACTTCAATTATAAAGCTATTAAGTGGAAGCATAATAAACTTTAAATTAAAGTTTTAACAAACTTTCAAGAAGTTTCATCTAGTGAGGAAGAGATATCTATTTACGTATTTCCAATAAACCCAGAATGGAGATATTTGTAGTTAAAAAAGGTCTCGTGATTCAGTCTGGTTTAGTGTCATACACGCATCTTAATGTCAAGTATTTCCAAATAACTTCCTTTTTAGCTGGTTCATATGCAGAACTTGATCTGTATCATTTAAAAAAACCCAAACGAGGTTTGACAAAATATAAATTAACTTCTTACATTATTTTTGTTACAGACATTTAGTGAACACCTAGTGTTTAAGAAAGTAAACCAACTTTGTTTATTCAATGGAAACAAGACAATCTCATTATATCCCAACTTCAACACTACATCAGGTTAAAGGGCTACTTTCCCCAAACAGATGAGCATCCAGAGTATTTTAGGCTCTAAAAAGCCACCACAGAAAGATGTTCAGTCAAATTCACATTGTGAGAATACAGAAGTTCTTGATGGCAACATAAAATGCATCTCAGTTGTTTTCTGTTAGTCACACCATCATAACCTACAACCTCTTCCATCATATCGTACGAGGCACAATGCTAAGCAGAGGAAATGGAGCATGCTGGAAATTGGCACGCTGCAGAAAAAAGCGTGCTGAAGTTTTTTCAGTTTCTTAACATCATGGCTTACTACTAATCCTTCACATGAAGTTTCCTAACCTCTTCTTGCCCCTGTAGAAAGCTCAACTTCCCCTCCTCTTCCCTCATGTCCCTCCGAAGCTGTACACTTTTTAGAAAAAGGAAGTAGCTGTAGTTTCTCTTTTACATTAGGTAAACCAAACATGGAAGCTCTCCAATACTTTACATGACAAAGACACATATGTTTCACTACTGAGATATTTAAAATCACTGTACTTGATTAACCTTAAAAAAGAAAATCAAGTGGAAAAAACAGTAGGCAGACTGGTGTAGAAAATTACGTTGAAAATTACTTTGCCTAATGGTGAGAACTGGAAAGCAAATACTCAATTATTTTGTTCTGAAAAATTTAAATATATTCATCATATGTCTTCAAGACTGCTATTTTCAAATATCAACAAATTGAAAGCAAATAGCAGTATTCTTAAGATGAAGTAACATTTTTATACCTATTTTATCTGTTTCATCCGTAGTATGTTCTGAATTCTATACAACTAGAATCAAAACGAGATGTTAAAGCTTGCGTCGAGATTCTGCGTGTACCTTGATTAGAGAAACACATTTATCAAATCAAGACAGATTGTGTGAAAATCACTCACCAAATAAAAACACTACACATATATTTTCAACTTGTAGTTACAACCTGCAATGTAGCTGTAACAGAACAGATTATTTTGTTTGGGTTTTCTCTGTGGAAACAGTTACTAGGAGTATAAACAGCCTTTTGCGAGCATTAGCTTGACAGAAAAAGAAGATTATAATAACAATAAACTAATTCTCTTCAATTTCCTTCTCAGCTGACTGGGTTCATCAATTTTCCAGATACCTTGATTTTTTTTCTTTGGAGTCCATCCATGCTATCTCAATTGGTGAGGTGCAATCATTATCAGATCTCAATCATTCTTTGTCTACGTGCAAGCATGACTGTACTGCTATTTCAGCAGAGTGCATCTATTCTTAACTTGTACCTGTGACCTAAGGGTATGTTCCCTTGGGTCTCTGCTAGAGTTCTGCAGGCAATTGTCATCATGTTGCTAACCAAACCTCTTTACATAAAAGATCTTGATTGGATTTATCTGTTGCACGTAGACATCTGTAATTTAAAAGCCTATGTATAATCTGGTTGTTGAAAGTTGGTTTCATAGCCACCAGAGAGAAATGGGCACTGTTAAGATGTGACTCATGCTATGGCAGACGTCTCCGAAGTACACACACAGCTGAATTACTCTCACA